TTTCTGGAAAGAAAGGTAGTCCCACAAAGAAACATATTATGTCCACTCACTAATCGAATTCCTAACAATCAGTTTATAGTCATTAGTGATGTTGCCTTCCAGCTACTCAGGCTACCATTTTGATGTTTCCCTAATGTTGATATTTGCATAGAAAGATTGAATGAAACACCTTAGACCTTAGGCAATTCTTCTGTAAAAGGAATATTTCCCCCAAAGGAACATATTACTGTATGCCTCTAATAATACCCTGTAATGGAACTTAACAACAGTAATGTTTCTTTCTTTCATGAAAGCCTTTGTCATATTTTTACTTCAGAAGAACACATTATGCCTCTAAGTCTAAAAATCCCACTACGAAAATTCCTCACAATGATGTAGCCTTCTGGAAGTGACATCTCAGCTACCAAATTACACGAGTTAAATCCCATCCTGTTGTTTCCCTTTGTAAAAGCCTTGTCCTGAGGCGGGGTGCCGACAGACGTTACATGGGACCTGCAGCACAATGGACACGTCTTCTGTTGAAACTGTACACCTGTGAGAAATACGCACAGGTGAAAACTTTACAGGTAGCCACAGAGATGTCTTGTCACACACCTGTCTTGTAACATTCCTGTTCATGGTAGTGCAAGAAGTTTCAAGAAGTACTGATGTTAACTTCTGAAAGACAAATATAGAAGTTTTCGTAGAATCTTCACAATAGACACATTTTCTGTTGAAACTGTACACCTGTGAGAAATACGTACAGGTGAAAACTTTACAGGTAGATACAGAGATGTCTTGCTATCCACCTGTTAGTTTTGGTAGGAGAAGTTTCAAGAAATACTGATCTTAACTTCTAAAAGACAAATATAAAAGTTGTTATAAAATCTGCACGGATTCATGTTGCAAAATACAATTTGTCTTTGTCTACTTTCTTTGTCGGTCGTATGTATCATTTTACACCTTTAGACAAAGATGTAGTGATTTGTGACGGTTTGTGCTTTTGTGAAAATTGAAGGGAAAGTTTTTGGTTGTTTGCGGACGAATTTGAGACTTAAGAACGAGCAGCCAAGGTTAGAAACCTCAAGTTGTTGTTCCAGGAGCAAGCCGTAAAGGTGCTTCATAAGTCTTATCTCATCTTTCGTCTGAGACATAGTTGGAATTGTTTCGATCAGGGCGGTGTAACCCATACAATAGCGCCGTGTTCGGTCTGCTGCCGCCCGTATAGACGCTTCCAAATACCAGAAATTCATGGTAACATTTGCATGCAGCAAACCCGAAAGGTATGGTAATATACTCGGAATAACGGACGCAGGACTGAAGAGAAAAATGTGCGCACACTTCGGCGGTGACATCTGATACTTGTTACGATAACTCTTCTATAGATTCTTGCAATAATTTAGAAAGAAAACCAGCGAGAGAGACCACTTTTCGGCGAAACTTGAATGACCACAGGTAACCCTTGTCTTCTGGGTTCAATATCCTCCTTTTTCCCCGAAATGGAACATTGCCTTCGGCAAGCGATTTTATACCAGCACTTTGGTGAGATTGCCTTTAGCGACCTAGGATCATACCAAACCATCACAGTGCATTTGAAAGGGCCCAAATTTACCTGAAAGCCAAGTTCATATCAGCAAGTTGCGCTTTCAGCTGAAAGCTTGACTCAAACGATATGTAGATTGTTCGCAGCACCAAGCTTAGGGTATTTTCACCTTTCTTACCAGCAAGTTGATTTTTTTCTTCCGCAAAACTGCAACTTTCTAAACCTTTCAAATCAATTTCTTATCTCAAAACTGCAGGTGGAAAGTGGTTATGCCTAGACCTGCTTGACTGCATAATGCTTTAGCTAGAAGTATTGATAGTTCTGAATATCTGAGAATGGTAATGGTTCTGTTGAGTTAGATGTCTCATGCAAGAGGCCCAATCAACCCTTGACAGTGAGAGAGATTGTGCAATCATGCTTCTAGCAGCCCTTCTACTGGTCAGACATCTAGAAGGCTTCAAGCATTGCTAGTTCTGACTCTGAGAATGGAAGTTCAAGAGTTAGAGGTGCATGGCCACAAGCTTAGGGAAAGAGGCCCGATCAAGAGATTGTATAACACAGGCTGCACCCAGCCCTGCCTGCACCCCCGAACATTGCCCCTCCACCAACCTAGCAGCAGGTGTGATCAGCACCAAAACCATTTTCCTCACGCCTTCAATTCCGGCCGATCGCTAATAGGCTTTCGCGCGAAGACGGGGGCATCTGGCCGTCGGTGGGGGCTGTCTTGGCTCGGAGCTAAACACGGGTATTATCCGGGGAACAATGGAGGAGGGATGGTGGCAATCGCCGAAGAAATTGGCGAGATATCGATCGCGCAGATCAACTGGTGTACCTGTCAGTGGAGGGATTGGATCATACACCCCCAGA